CAAAGTTGACTCCTACATGTTTACTGTAGTCAGATGTGTGAGTCTGTATAGGAAGACCGATGAGTCTGCACTAGGAGGCTCAAGAAACTGGATCCAAAGTTAATGGCAAAGACCAGAACTCCCTGCAATACAGGGAAACTCTCTTCCGTCTCTTTTATTCCATCCAGACTGCAAACCTAGTGCTTGGTTCCACCTACATCCCTGGTGGGTCTTCCTACCTCAATTATTCGGGCCTACATATGAAAGAGCCAGACACACCCTACATTTAATCTGCTAGATGGTTCTAACTCAGGTCAAGTTGACATCACAATTAACTGTCGCACTTCTCAACTTCTCTGCAGAGAAAATACTTTTTTGTGTTTTAAAATAAAAGCAACATCCAAAAGAATCCACAGTCAATATCACACTTGGTTGTGCAGCACTAAACATTTGCCTCTACAAAACTAAACACAAATCATCCACACCCAGATTTTTACTGAACTGTCAGCTAGAGCATCTGGTTAGTGCAGTCAGGCAACAAAATGAAATTAAAACGCACCCAGATTAGACATTGAGAATTATTAATTTTTTGATTCTAATGGTAAATGGCATATTCTTACATAGAGAAAATCTGAAGGAATTTACAAAAAATGGCTATTAGAACTAAAGTTTGGCAAAGTGATAGAATTGAAAGTCTACATATAAAAATCAATTTTACTTCTACACACAATGAATAATAAAAATAATTTAGCAATAGTTTGCAAAGATGAAATGCTGAAGAATAAATTGAATATATGAATGAGATCACATTTAAAAAGAGAAAGTATTGTTGAATGGTACTAAAGTCCTACAAACATGAAAACAAACTGCTTGCTGATGAATCAAAAGACTGCATTGTGAAAAAGTCAGCACTTTTCAAATTGACCTATAAATTCATTGCAGTCCTTATCAAAATCTGTGTTTTTTGAAGATATTGACAGGTTGATCCTAAGACCACTATAAAAATGCAAGCTTGAAATTATGTAAATATAGTTTGAAATGTCGCATTTCCTTATTTGAAAACCTACTACAAATTTCATAGATATCTGTTAAGTCCATTTTTACCTCAGTATAATTTAAGGGTGATTTTTCTTTGTTGATTTTGTCTGGATTTCTGTCTATTGGTGAATGTGAGTTATTATACTATTGGGTTCTAACTCACCTTTTACTATCTACTAGTGTCTGTATTGTACCATTCAATGCTATAATATTTGGTGTACATATACATGTAATTTTTATAAGTTCTTGATGTATTGTGCCTTTGATCAATATATAGTGTCTTTCTTTGTCTCTACTAATTTTGTGTTAAAGTTAATTTTGTTAGATAAGAATTTAGCTACTCTTGTTTATTTTAGATTTCATTTGCTTGAAATATCATTTGCTATCTTTTCAGTTTCATGTTGTTTACTTCTTTGAAGTTGAGGTAAGTTTCTTGTAAGCAGGATATTGCTGGGTCTTGTTTTTTAATTCACACAGCAATCTGTGTTTTTTAACTGTATAATTAAGACCACTCATGTTCAGAGTTATTATTGAAAGGTGTTATTGGAAGTTACTATTGGAATAATTTTATTGATTGTCTTTGGTTGATTTTATTTTGTGTTAAATTTTTTTCTTCTCTACTTAAGAAGTTAAATGATTTATGATATTGATGATGTTTAATTTTTTTCCCTATGTATCATTTACATGTCTCTTCTTCCAATGGGATCTCTTCTTCGCATGCTTGAATTATTTCTAGTTTGTTTGTTTCTTTGTTTGTTCTTCTTTCTCTTTCTGGGAGTAGAACTTCCTTAAGCATATTCTATTAAGCTCATTTAGTGGTCATGGATTCCCTTAGTTTATGCTTATTTTCAGATGTCTTCATTTCTCCTTTAATTATGAAGAATAGGCTTTCTGGGTATAATATTCTTTATGAGTAAATATTTTCCTTCAGGACTATGTCATTCTAGCCATGTGTGCTTCTGATGAGAAATCTTCTGTTAGTCTAATTGGTTTGCGTTTACATGTTAATTAGTGCAACACTTTTGCAGCTTTAAATTTTTTTCTTTGTTCTGTACTTTTGGAAATTGAAGTGTAGTATGTTCTGGAGAGGCCCTTTTCTAGTCATGTCAATGTTGAATTCCAAATGCCTCTTGTACATGGATGTTCATGTATTTCCCAAGATTTAGGAAATTCTACTATTATTTCACTGAGTGTATTTTCTATGCTCTTAGCATGTAACTCTTTTCCCTCCAGTGTGTTAATTGGATGGATCACTGATCTTTTAATGGTGTCCCAGAAATCTGTACATTCACTTCAGTCTTTCTTATTGTTTTCATTATTGCTGTTTGAGTGTAATATTTTGCTAGAGTTATCCTCATGCCGCAATATTCTTTATTGTGCTTGATGTAGTCTGTTGTTGGGACTTTTTTTTTTTTTTTGAGACAGGGTCTCACTGTATAGTTAAGACTGAAGGGAATTCACTAAGTGGCCCAGGCTGATCTCTAGCTCACAGCGATCCTCCTGCCTCAGCCTCCAGAGTGCTGGGATTACAGGCATGTGCCACCATGCCTGGCCCCTGTTGTTGGGACTTGCAGTTGAGATTTTTATCAAACTTTACATTTTCAAAATCTATGTTTGGCTTCTTTTCAGAAAGTTTATCAAATTTCCCATTCACATTCTGCATTTTATAATTTAATTTATTCAGTGCTTATTTTTATTCTCTTAGACTTCATTGAGGTTTTAAAAATTATTGTTTTGAATTTTTTATCCAGTACTCCATTTTTGTATCTTTGGATTCTGTTGCCATGGAATTAGCTTTGGGTGATATCACCTCATTTTTCAATTACCTACTATTGCTATGTTGAGATTTTCACATCCATTGGTATAGATATCTTGTTGTTTAATTTTCTTATAGTCACCTCTACTTTATGTAGATTTTTTTCTTTTTTTATTAAGTTTATTCGTAAATTTTAGGTATACTTATGATCACATTTATTATTTGGAATTTGTACTTGTACATTATATATCTATGTTCTTCTTTTTTCCCATTCCCCTTCCTTCCTTTCCACCCCTCCATCATTCCTTATTTACAAAAACTTTGCTTTTGTTGTTTCCTTCTCTTCTCATATTATTTTCCTTTACTTCTTTCCTTTACCCCACCTTCTCCCTAGTCACCTCTCCTTTTGGACTATTTTTTTCCTATTTTACATCATCTATTATACATTTTGGTCCTCATTTGCTCTTGCAGTTTCTCACAGCACAGAAGCTATTCAGTATTTACACAGATGTGTCCTATTTATTTCACTTAAGCGTATGGCCTCAAGGTGCATCCATTTAGCTATAAATGACTCTAGTTTCTCATTCTTTATACATTTACACATCCTTAAAAGTAAAACAGTGTAGGTAATGTGATGGCAAAGGTACAACTGAGATGTAAATAAGTTACTTTTATTTGCTTAAATATGTTTGAATAACCAGGTTTAAACAATATTGCAAAGCAGACTCTTACCTTTGTCTTGAAGTAGAAGCTTAAGAGATATCTGTGCTTCTATTACATAGGACTCAACAATGACACTTTGAAAAATAAACAGCACTGCTTAAAAATGAAAAAAAAAAACTATATCTTCTTTATCAAAAGAAGACCTGTGTTGTACATTAGGTTGTCACACAATATCGTAGAGAAAGACAGAGAATGGGCGATACCCATTTGTATGTCCTTAATTCAATTCTCCATGAATTCTTTGATGTATAGAGGCATTAGAAGGAAGACAAACACAGTTTATCATCTAGAAGTGGCTCTAAAGTAAAGCGGAAATGTATGGTGTCCAAGAGTCTGAGAAGCTATCCTAGTGGAGTGGAAAGGAAAATCTTTGATTCTGCTCTACAGAAAGAGAAGACAAGTATAGGAGCTGTGCAACCAGCAGATGCCATCCAGAGATACTGAGACTCACTGACGGAAACAATGCCCTCTTAGAAGAAGGTGTTGTCACGAGAACTAATGGAAGCTCATTTGGGCAAGAGAAAGTAAAATGCATTTATGGGTTGGAAGTCTCCTTTGCTCCCCAAAAAAGATATCAATTTCTTTTCTAAAATGTATAGTGAATTTGGGATAAGAATGATGCTTTTCATTGGTCATAAAACTACTTGCCAGTTGTAGCTTTACCATGAAATAAATAAATTCAATATAAAAATGCCACTTCTAAATCTGAAATACTGTAATGTAGATGGGATAAAGCATGATATCTGTGGAATAAAGGAAAATATTTACAGAATTATCAGGAAATAGAGGTGGTAGCATACTCTCAAAAGTGTGGAGGAAACATTGTTACACAATATATGTCAAAATATGCCTAATATATCCATATACTTACAATTGTAATAATCATCCACTCCATTATTAACTCTGTGGGTAGGGACTATCTTAACACCCATTATATGCCTCTGTATTCTTTAATATAGTTCTGTACGCTTAGTAAGATTAATATCAAGTCATATTTTATGTATTCCAAATAGTTAGATCTATTCATTTTAGAGACCATGATTTCACAAATATTTTCCAATTAATTTGTTTTAATAATATAGGTGTATAAAATGTGGAGAATATGAATACATGCTACCAAGAATGAAGATTTATTTATTCCAAGAATGAAGATAAATGAACCTGGACTAAAAAAAATTTGTGTCACCAACATAAAAAGTGTATACAACCATATGGAGAATTTTTTAAATGTTTAGAGGAGATATGTCAAATACATCTAATCATGTGACTCCAGCCATATCCTTGACTCCTTTCTTCAAAATAATTACATAGGGAGTGGGATTTAGCTCAATGGCATTGCACCTACCTTGCCGTCACAAGGTCCTGAGTTGGATCCTGGGTACTGAAAATAAATAAGTACACAATAGCAATAATCTCGTGACTTATGGACATCAACTGATAACCTTAGACTGTTCCCTTACAAAATTACAGAAATTATGTTTTTGCTAAAGCAAAATATTCTATTTCATAAAATAAATCTTTTTTCAAGGATCTTCTTTAGGGCAATTTTGACATCCTTATTTCTCAGACTATAGATCAGGGGATTCAGCATAGGCACAATAGTAGTATAAAACACGGAGGACACTTTCCCTTGGTCCATGGAGCTGACTGATGAGGGCTGCAGGTACATGAATGCTATAGAACCAAAAAAGATGGCAACAGCACAGATGTGGGAGCTGCAAGTGCTGAAGGCTTTGGACCCGCCCTCAGTGGAGCGGATGCGGAGGATGCTGGCGATGATGAAGACATAGGAGCTAAAAACGGTCAGAGTGGGAATCAGGACATTAAAAGCACTGAAGCTCAGACCTACCATTTCATTCACAAAAGTACTGGAGCAGGAGAGCTCCAGTAGTGGGAATAAATCACAAAAGTAATGATTTATTACATAAACATTACAGAAAAGCACCCTTAGCATGCAGACTGTGTGAGCTGTGGCACCAACCAAGCCCATGCTGTGCACTCCAGTGACCATCCAGCAACAGACTTCAGACGACATGGTAACATTGTAAAGCAAGGGATTACAGATGGCAACATAGCGGTCATAAGCCATTGCAGCCAGCATGTGACACTCTGCAATAGCAAATGCACTGAATAAGTAGAACTGAGCCATGCATCCAGGGTAGGATATGATGTTCTTCTCTGTCACAAAGTTCACCAGCATTTTAGGGGTAACAACAGTGGAATGACAGAGGTCAATGAAGGACAGACTGCTGAGGAGATAGTACATGGGGGTGTGCAGGTGAGAGCTGAGCCTGATCAGGGTGATCATGCCCAGGTTCCCCACCACTGTGAACACATAGATTCCCAGGAAGAGGAGGAAGAGGGGAAGCTGGAGCTCTGGTTTCTCCATTAACCCAGCAAGGATGAAGTAAGTCACTGTGGAATGATTTCCTTCTCCCATTTTCCTTTAGGAATTGTATTTAGGACAAACAACAAATGTTTGATGAAGGTATTTATTAGACTGTGAAACAATGAAGTGTGAAATTCTAGACTTTTCAGCCAGATATTTCCAGTTCTCTGCCAGCTTCTCTCCTGTGTTAGCTGTTAAAGAACTTGGGATCACAGATATATGGGGATGTCAATAAACATCAGATAGAATTTAGTGTACTGGTGCTTCACACTATTTGCATGGTTATTAGTTGTACCCAGTTCATGAACATCCAAGGAACTGCTAGGATATTTTTGATTGAATGCCCCTGGAACCTTCTTTGCCTTAATTGTAATCCTCTCTACTCTTCAGAGAAAAACAATTTATTTTTAAAATAGTGACAGCATTCAAAATAAAGAAAAAGTGCTACAATACTTAATGGTGACAGGATGAAAGATTTTTTCTTAGGTTAATTAACATGACAAGATGTTGACTCCCTACCTTTCACTCAACATTAAACTTGACTTCCTAATGGTAGAAATCGGGCAAGAAATCATCTTCAAGAAAAATGAAGTATAAACAAATTGCCTCTCACATAACTGCTATAGATACCTCATGTATATAAGTACAGTACTGTAGAATTTGCCCTTCTGTGACTGGCTTATTTCATTTAGTACACTGTCCTCCACATCTATTTATGTTAGTTCAAATCTTCAGATTACCATTTGGGAAGAAAAATAGTGGTAAGAGGAAGAAGTGAAGATTGACAGCCATTGTTAGATTGCTGTATTATGCTCAGAATTTTTGTAGATTCATGGAATGAAAGAATGAAATAGTCCTTTGTTACCCTGATTTTAGTGAAGCATTTGTTCTATGTATAGCTATATGTTGTAGGTGAATGTAAAACTCAGGACACATCTAAAGACCAATCATGAAGCAAGAAATTCTGAGTTATTTTTATATAGTAGTGTATATTTAGTTTTGTCTTTAAAAAATACATACCATCAAGAACATGGATTGTGACCCCAAAACAGTGGAAATTTTCAGAAAATAATAGTGAAGGTATACACAATGATAGTTATCCTAAGTAAGTAATTTTTGTGCATGTGGACGATATTAAAATAACGTTAACACTGGTAAGCAAGTAGATTGTTGTGGGTGTTCAGAATATAGAGAGAAATAATACAGAGTCCCTGCTTTTCAAGAAGGTTGCAGGCTAGAAGGGGACAGAGAGGCAGACTGGATAATGTAACAAACACAACCGTCAAGAACGGTACACAGGAAGACAGCTGCTATGGTTCTAGCTTAGAGAAACTTGGGTCTGGGAGAATAAGTAGGAATAAGGCAAGACTGCACAATATTCAAATTAAGAAGCACTGCCTTCACAGTTCTTCATGGTCAGAAAACAGGGATCCAGAGAAAGACTCCAAAATATAGCAAAATTTCAAAGTATTCATTAAAAGAGCGTCCAAAATAAGGGAAGTTGTAGATCCAGAAAATACACCACATCTGGTAAATTGTGCTTAATTCTGATACTGGGAGGAGAGTGGGTTATTTTTCATCTGGTGAGTTATAAATCATAATTACTTTGGAAGATCAAGATTTAGAGCAAAATAATTTCAACCTGCTTTCAACATGACTAGTAATACAAATTAAGATGAAATTGGTTGTATGCTACATACAAGGGCCAAACTACAATCCAAAAGGTGCAATTTGACTTATCATCACAATCCCCTCGAATATATTCCTGGAAATTACATGTATTAAATTATTAAGAAAAATATGTCTTCAGATATGTTATAGCAAAATATAACTAATTCTTTTCTAATAGCTTTAGGAAATCCTGCAGATTTTGTGAAGAGGGTTGACTTCATGAAAATCCTTCAATATTCTGAGATTGAAAGACTAGAAAAATGCAATTCAGATACTCACTCTTTCTTTGCTTAAAATCTTCAGTCAGGTCATACACAAGCTATACTATAACTCTCTTAGGGAGAGAGCTTTTGATTATATTGATGGTATGAATTCAAATAGAGATTCCTGAGCCCTCTTTTCCATAGGAGATCAAAGGCAGATCTCATAGTCTTAGTAGCTGACACACATATGGTTAATTAAAGGCCACAGTGCCTCTCGTGGTTTCCTTATAAGGCATTTGGTGACAAGATGATGTCATTTTTACCCAAAGTTTTAAATAAAAGAGTGGTGGCCATAAAAATATGCAAACGCATCCTCCCTTAAGGTTTCGTTTCACTGGGGATAAGCTGATAGAATATAAAAGTAATTACAATTTTCTTTTCTCATCCTTCATGTAACACGCTCATTAACTCTCTCATGTATAATTTTTGTCTGCTTTGAAGTAGTAGCAATCATTAGGATAAGGGCTAGAAATTAAAAACTAGCAGATATGATTCTAGCGGGCCTTTGGGACAACTTCTTCTTATATGAAAATTATTTCTGAAATATTTAAATCAATCTTTATGTAAGCTTTGGAGAATTGGTTAATTATCTGTAATTATTAGTGGAATTGCTCTTTATAGTTTTCAGGACACTTTACGGCATAATTTCACTGAGGGTGAAAGGTGTTGACCTAAGAAAATTTGTAAATGAGTAGAAATTAGAGTATTAAAGACAAAAAATGAACTGCAATCACTGTACTCATTTGATAAAGTTGTTCGACTTATTTCCCATAAAGGTATAGGTTGACAATTCTGAAACCACTGCACCTAACTATTATGAATGAACACAAACCAATAAATGGGAAATGGATAATAGCAACCAAGTTTCTTGAAATGGCAAATTTCAGGTCAGGAATGGGAGATCTTAAAGTGAGCCATGTAATACCGAATGAATGCACGTAGGAAACATCAATAGGAACTGATGTTTAGCACAATACAAAAACACTTAAGCATAAATGTGTGAATGTTAAAATGGTGCGAATGTATCAAAAGGGCACAATAATTACACAGCAAGACATCCAGTGGCCAGCACTAGAATGATGGAAAGCTTGTACAAGTTATAGTTGATGATTTTCAACTCTGCCTAGACACAGTGGGCTAACTCAGGGATCCTGATGTCTGTGATTTGAAGGCCTTTTTTCATGTTATTAAATGTGGAACTTTCCACCCACTATCCACCCTCCATAGTGTGTCAAATCCAGGCTCTGCTCTGTCATTTCTTTAGTCTCAGATTCTGAGACCCAGGACTCATCTGCATGGCCTGTAGTGCCAAAAGGAAACCTCAGTGCTCTGCTTGAGCCCTCAGGAGGCCAGGAATTATGAGATAATTAGAAACCTGTGTTGTCATTCTCACATTCTTAGAAAATGTTGACTTTATCATTAAGGAAAAATTACTGGGTCTTGATTCATCGTAAACACTGAAGACTTTAATTGTCTCAGAGTACATGTCTTATCAAGACTTATTTTCAAGGTGATGCATTCAAATCAGAAGAAGCTTACTTGCATTGAATCTAAATTGTCTAAATTATTACTAGTTATCTATCATTACACATATATGTTGTCTTTAACTCCTTTTCTGTTATTGAACTAAAATCAATTCCACTTGTGCACAACAAGCATTGACACATCCATTCACAGTGGTGTCAGATTTGCTCTCTCTTGCTGTTGAAGTACTTGCTTCCTTCTTATGTCTGGAAAGGGAGGTTCCTTCTGTTTGTTATTCCTTGTTTTAACTCAGGGTTGACTCAGCTGAAGTAGGCATGAGTTTGTCTTTCATATGAACTTTAGGGAACAGTGTGACCTCTACCACCTTCTGTATACTGAGGAATTGTATGTAGAAATAATCTCTTCTTTCAAGGAAAGAAGAAAAATAGTTCTGTTATGTCATAAATAGTACACCAGCTAGGCCCTGCACATTAACATTTAGGTCAATGATGGGCTGTGTATACAAGAATGGTCCCATAAGATTATATCTTCAGCAGATGTTGTAATCACCTTAGTTAATGTGAGTGCCCTGTATGATGTTTTCACAATGAACAGATGGAGTAACAATGCTTCTCAGACATTATTTCATTATAAAGCAATGTGAGACTCTACTGCAGGCTTTTGGTTTTACTTGCACCAAAAGGCTGTGCAAATTGGCAAGTTGCTCAGCCCCTAATTTCCTCTCACTTATGTAGAGCTGGTATTTATACAAACACTTTATCATGGACTATCTCATTTCAGTGAATTTCTGTGAGAATGTGGTATAAATTTTAAATCCTGTTTCATAGATAAAAAATATAGAGTTCAATGAATGTTAGAGTTTTTTTCTCTGCAACTGGGTTTGGAGTTATGATCTGTGGAAAGATTTTTGTGCTGTAATTTCAATTTCTTAAATAGGTAAAGGTTTATTCAGATTATCTTCTTGGATAAATTTTAATAATTTGTGACTTGCAAAAATTAGTTTTGTGTCATATATGCTATCCTAAGTGTAGACCTTCCTCCCGTGGTTATAGTCCTAATGTCATTTCTGCTTTAGAAGGATCTGCATTGCCATTTGGATCTGTCCTGGGTATGGAGTACTTTGGAGACCTGAGCAGCTGACTTCATAGTTTAGCTACCTAAACCTTGATGTGCTTGTTCAGTCCACCTCAGATCCATGCATGTGCAGCATGAGAACAAATCCAGAGAGCTGTGTACAAACTTTGTGAGATTGCTTTAATTTTGAATACTCAAAAAAATGTGCTTTTGTTTGTCAATCAAACCTTAACAAAGGTGAGGGGAGAAAAAAGAAAAAAGAGCCAGACACAAAAATAAAAACATAGCATGCTCCACTTAGATGTCAAAATTGAATAATTGAATACGTAGAAACAGTAATAAAGGTAGATATCAAGAATGAAGAAATGGGGTAACGTAGGTCAAAGGGGCAATTATTTAGGATAAATAAGTCTATGGTACATGATAACTATAAATAATAATGCCATATTCTATACAGGAACTATGCCAAGATGATGGGTTTTGATTATATATCCAAAAATAGGAGTTAGATATATTAGTTTGGCTGTAATAATTGGTTCACTGAGTATATTAGAAGACTATAAATGGTGCCACAAATATATATAATTGAGAAATATATGGTTTTGAAAATAAAATACTTTTAAAAGGAAAAAATCTCCCTAAAGCCACCGTGATCAAAGCAGTGTGAAATTAACATAAGGACAAAACAAACAAAAAATGAAAGAGGAATTCCAAAATAGGTCACTTGTATTTTTCATATTTTGAAATTTACTAAATTATTCTCCCTTATTTGATAATGTGTATAGAAATTGTTTCTTCAGTTACAGATTCCTTCAGCAACTGAGAAATATAACCCTAGTAGAAGTTGGAAACACAGACTCATAGGGGAAATGAGTTGAATCCAGAGCTTTCATATAGGGCTTTGGTCACAGCACCTTTTATCATTTTAAAGTAATAATGATAAAAACAATAATAACATTTATTTATTTGTTTGTTTGTTTATTTTGTGACAGGGTCTCACTAAGTAGCCCAGACTGGGCTCAAATTTTTCAGTCCTCCTGCCTCAGCCTCCCAGAGTGCTGGGATTACACAAGTGTGCTTCCACCCCCAGTGTTTGTGGAAAAATATTTATGAACAGATTATCTTCCCTTCCAAGTCAGTAAAAAAAATTGTAAAACAAATTTCCTCCCCTTTCTAAGTCGCACAAAACACACCCATCCCATCTTGTTGACCCCTCAAGCTAGGGAAGACAGTCCATTTTCTTTGCTAAGATTGGAGACTTTGTGGGGCAAGGTGGAATCTCAGCATTGTTTTCATCTTCATCTCTTGAATGACCAGTGATGTGGAACATTTTTTCATATATTTACTTGATGCTTTTACTTTTTTGTATGAGAAATGTCTGTTCATTTCAGATGCCCATTTTTGAATAGGGTCCTTATATTTAGGGGGACTGAGTTTTTTGAGTTCCTTATATATTCTAGATAGTAGCCCTTTGTCTGAGGTTGGTGGGGATGTGGGAAGAAAGGAACCCTTCTCCATTGTTGATGGGAGTGTAGACTGGTGCAACCACTATGGAAATCAATATGGAGATACCTCAAAGAACTAGGATTAGAGGTTCCATTTGACCCAGTCATCCCTCTGCTGGGTTTCTTTCCAAAAGAATTGAAAGAATCAGAGCACAGCGATATATGCACACCTATGTTTATAGCGGCACAGTTTGTAATAGCTAAAACTTGGAAACAGCCCATTTGCCCAGTTGGAGACTGGATAAAGAAGATGTGGTTTTTCTATAACATGAAATACTACTCAGCCATTAAGATTGAGAAATTAGAGTTAGTCATAGGAAAATGGATACATATTGAGGATATACTCCTAAGTGAAATAAATAAGTCACACATGTATAAATACTGAATAGTTTCTCTTGTGTGAAAAACATAAGATCATAATGATGTAATTGACAATGTGAGGTAGGAAGAAAAGAGCTAAAGGTGTAGGGGAAATGGGAAGGGTGAGCAAAGATAATAAGGGAAGAGGAAAAAAAACATGAGAAAATGAAAAAATGGAACTAATGTATTTGTAAATAGGGAAAGGAGGAGGGAGTGAAGGGAGGGCCGGGATAAGGGGAAAAAATGAGAACCAAAACCTGTCATGTAAAGGTACAAGATCCCAATGATGAATGTAACTGCACTGTATACCTAAAATGTACCAATAAACTCAATGAGAAAAAAAAATAGGACTGGAGACTTGTCCATATTCACTAGGGGCCAATAGAACACAGCTTGATGGCACAGTCTATGGTGGGCAGGCCCTGTCTGCAAGAGCCATTTTTGCGGAGAGATACTGACTCACTAGCCTAGTCATAGCCTCATTCTCTAGTTCCTGGGATTTCTAAGAATCAAAATAAGAGATCATATTTCTACGACCGTGGCTTGCAACTTAATACCTACCTCAGACTAATTCTAAAATAGTCTCTAAAAATCGAACATACCTGTATCTTCGTTGACTCTCCTTTATCTAGATATACAATAGTAAGTAGAACTTTGTGAAAAATTGTAGAGGATTACTGTTGTCTAAACCGAAGAATCCAGTTTAACCTATTGGCTACAGCTGCATGCCAGAGGAGGCGACCACTGGTTTCACAGCTGTTAAGACCAATAACATCTTTAGTTTTCATGGCATCATAAATATAATTACTTAGCAGAGGTTTTGAGAGGGGCCTTCTTAGCATCAGCTAGTCATTCTAGGAAGTCTATTCCAGTTTATTATTTTATAAAAAGTTGTACATCTTCATAGGGTTTGAGGTTGATGCAACAGCCATTTGAATTAGAAACGTATTTCCCCACAAGTATTCTTAGCTGGGTTAGTTGTTAAGAATGCTATCAGTTCTTCCAAAGAAAGGAGATTTCAGAAAGAAGTAACTCATAGCTGAGATCATCAGGGAGGGCTTTACCAAGAAAACTGTGTTTGGATGGTGTCCCAAAAGATGAATGTGATTTGGAATGGAATTGGTAAACATGGAGTAGGAGTAGCAAAAAGACCAGAACTTGGAGTCGCCCAAGGCAGGGCATATGTGAGAAACACCACAATTCTGGGTGTGTGACCCACAATTATGTGTGAAACAACACCCAGACAACAATAACAAAAATAGTTCCATATGGACTGAAGTGAAAAATCATGTTACATTGCTTGGAGGAATTACAGAGTTTGAGTTGGCCCATGAGAAAATAATTGGAATAAAATTGCTGATGTTGATTAGAAACAGGTCCCCAAAAGTTGTGTCAAACTCAACCAAGCCTTAAAAATTGGAAAAACACTAAAGAAATTCTTAACAAAGGAACAAAATGATTTTGTCAATGTGTTACAAGTAAAACTGGCAGCAATTAAACACGAGGGGAAAGGAGAGATGTGAAAGCATACTTGAAAACTGTGTAAGTTGAATAATAGCGATTTAAATTTTTTTTAAAATACCTGAAATCCCTTGTTCAGGAACAAGTTTTTCTACTTTAATAGAAGCTTAGCAAGGCCTTCTCTAGCTTGAGCTATGCCTAAAACAGAGCTGAATGTCATGAAACCACTACATGTAAGGTATTCTACATCAGCGAATCCGCCTCCACTTTGTCTCTCAATACAAATATAAATAATAGATAATTTTATGTGCATGTACTTCAGTTAGTCAACACATATCAACGTTGCAAAGAGTTTTGATTTAATGTATGCTATGTAGGGGCTGGAAATGTAGCTCAGCAGCATTGT